TGGGGACCGGGCCTGGGGTGTGAGAGGAGGACCCGGGAGCTGGGAGGGGCGGGGGCGGGGCCGCGGGGCGCCAGGGGAGGACCTGCCGGGGCTGGGAGGTGAGGCTGGGGCCGCGCGGTGGGGCACAGGGTGCCCGAGGAAGGCAGACGCGCCCTCGTTAGGTGCACCGTGAGCGGCCAGGTGAGGACTGGCAGGGGCGCCTGCCCGGATTCGGTGCCCCCGAGCTTCGGGGTGCTTTGCCGAGACGTGTGCAGCGTCCTGGAGTGGGATTTCACAGCTGCAAGCCAGCGAGATCTCCCAGTCCTCTTCCTCCGCCTGTTTTCCCAAGCGCGTCTGAGAGGCTAAGTGACACCAGCACAGATTTTCTTTGGCCCCCTTCTTCATTTTCAACTCACCGAAGATTGCCCTTTTAGCAAGATCCAGGCTCCCCGGAGCTGCCGCTGGCCGCAGCCCCCATTCCTGCAGCTTCTCTTCGCCCACCTTTCCTGTTTCTTGTGTCATCACAGTTAACGACCCACGGCCTTGGTCGTCAGTATAGGTCGTCAGTAAAGGGGCACTAGCCAAAGTGCCCTTTGAGGATCTGGGCACCACAACTCACAGGACAAGACTGCAGTGGGCACCTCCTGGAGTTGTGTGGCTTGTGGAGTCCAGTGGACATCCACTGGGCATTCCCTCCGCAGGTGTTTCCAAGGCCCCGCCAGGGCCTGTGCCCAGCACTGCAAGAGCAGAGCTGGGTCAGGCTCAGGGCTGGCCCTGAGAGACACCAGTGCTTGTGCTCCTCGGGGTGCCAGTTGTTGCCCTACAGGAATACGAGCCCTGTGTTGCCAGATCTTCCTATTTATCAAGAGAATTTTCTGTGGAATGTCCTGGATTTCAATGTTAGAAGCTGATATAGTCCTGCCAGACGCAGATGGAGGCTTCCAGTGAGTGACCTCAGCCGCGGGCCACACCTCTTAGTGTGGAAGAGACTGTACCGTTTCCAAGAAAACTTAGTGTCCTTTCAGCGTTTTGGGCTACCTCCCAGTAGGCCTCACGGGTCATGAGAGCCCACACTGGACCTGCCTCCTGGACCGAGTGGTTCAGTGGGAATTAGACGCCAGCCGCCTCGGAGAGGGCAGTGGTCAGCCTCAAAGCTACTGCAAGTTCACTGAGGAAAGCGAGGCTCCGTGTGACCAACACCTGTTGTTGCACCAGTGTGCCAGTGTGTGTGTCACATTTAGCTGGAGTGCTTGAAGAGCTTGCACAGGCACATTTATGTAGATCATCTCAGCAGACGGGTGGGTGCAGGTGCAGCTATGCCTCCATACACCCTCTTCCTATTCGGAGATGGCTCTTCTGGGGCTCTTCTCCTTTCCACCTCACTCATCTCTTCACGTCCCCCAAGACCGAGCTCCCAGTGTCCCTCCAGGGAACCGTTCCTTGAACACCGCCCACCCCATCCCACCCACCCAGCTAAGTTTGGTGCATCCTGCTGTGGCCTCTGCTGTGGCCTTCCTTGTTCTATCAGTTCTATCGGACATCATGGTCTCCTGGGCACTGTGTCCTCAGGAAAGAAAAAGTCAGTGATGTGGTTTTAATCAAGCCATTTTTTAAAAAATGCCAACCTGGACGTTTTATTAAAAAGCAAGGATGATGTGGATGGTTGGCCCATTAAGAAGCTTTCAGGTCTTGCAATGTGAATATGCCAACAGTTTAGAAACTCTAAAATAAAATTTCGAAGACTAGAAGAGAAATCCCAACATGAACAGTGAAAAAAGATGTATTCCAAATGCTGATAAAACTTGAATATGCCCCTTTAACTATAATTTAGAGAGATGTTTTAGAACATTTCAATAAAACAAGTGAGAAATTACAAATTCCTGATTTGGATGTATATAAAGAATACCTTCTTTTGTAATCATTCATTTTATTAAAGACTGGAGGAAAAAAATCAGATTAAAAATTAATAGACTGTGAAACAAAAGTGCTAAAGTCCAGTAATAAAATCAATAGAAATTGTTCTGTAATCAACAGGAAAATGGTAACAAAATATTTTCAGATCATACCAAAAGCAGCACTTCATTAAAAGGAAGAAAAAAATTTCAAATAGGGACAATGAACAGGTTTTTAGATTGCTTGATAATTCAATTAATGAAGAGGAGTTAAATAGTGGTAAAAGATACATATTTGCTGCTGATGTGTCCAGATATAGTGACACTGACAAAGATAGCATTACCACAGACTGGCTAATGTGTGTCATCAGTCCAAAGGGTGTAAGTGATGAGAAGGAACACCTGAAATGCCTTTAAACACTTCAGAGATGAAAAAAGCTGGATCTGGGCCGGCCCGGTGGCGCACTGCGATGGTGCGCCGCTTGGGAAGCGCGGCGGCGCTCCCGCCGAGGGTTCGGATCCCACATGCAGACCGGTTCCCGCTCACTGGCTGAGCGAGGCGCGGGGGCGACACCGAGGGTTGCGATCCCGTTGCCGGTCCCAGTCCGGTACGGGGGCGACACTGAGGGTTGCGATCCGTTGCCGGACACGGAAAAAGACAAAAAGGTAAAAAAATAAAATAAAATTAAAAAAAAGCTGGATCAATATTCTCCCAAATTTTTACATGTCCTTTTCAGTCATGACTTTTGAGGGTGGAAGAAACTTCCTTAAACTTTCAATAATAAAAAATTTATGATTCGAAGCAGAAGAAATACATTATCTTTCTGTTCTTGATATGTAAAATGGTATGACAAAATCATTGTCCTGTGAAGAAGTGATCAGATTACACAGCCAGAAATGTCAGGGAAGATGTATTTTGGGACATGTGTCTGGCAGTTAATAAAACATATTGTGTTATGTGTATTGTTCTTTTTATTTTAATTTTTAACTGTTGTACTTTCTCATTCTAAAGAAATACTTGTTTTTAAGCCAATTTTGTATTCTTAAAGAGGGCCTCTCAGAATTGTTTAAGCTTTGGGCCCCCTAAAACCTGCTTCTGCCCCTGTCTGCAAGTGTTTCTGAGACAGGAGAGGAAGCTGATGCTTCCAGGAAGAAGGAGGAGGGGATTTTTTGGGAGGGATCAGAAACTGGCTGAAGGCTGCCTTTGGAGAAAAAGAAGCCATTTGACCATGAGGGTGATTTGGGGTATGTCTCCTTCCCTGGGCTGGGACATTCAGGCAGTGTCACCATCTGGCTGCCTCCAGCCAGGCTCAGCCTTCAGGTGCCTCTCAGTGCGGCCCTCCCTTCACCCTCCACATCTCTCTGCCCTGCTCCCAGGTCTTCTCGTGGGCACCCTGGATGTGGTGCTGGACTCCAGCGCCCGCGTGGCCCCTTACCGCATCCTGCACCAGACCCAGGACTCGCAGGTCTACTGGACAGTGGCATGCGGTAGGTGCCCGAGTCATGTGAGGTGCTGGGCGGGTTCTACCTTGGAGTGGTCCCACCTGGGAGGGAGGAGACAGGCAGCTGCTTTCCTGGGCCGTGTTGCTCTCATTCAGACAGCACAGCACCGCACCGACCAGCAAGAGGGAAGCAGAGGAGCCATGACTTCCAGAGTAGGAAGGCAATCCCGCTGTCCACGGAACAGGGCAGGCAGAGGACAGCCCCATGGAGCTCTGCATGCCTGTGAGGGCTCAGGCTCGGGATTGGGCAGTGTCCACATTTTCACACTCACCTTTTCTCAAGGCGGATACAACCAGCCTCATTGTGCAAGGATTCCGTATGTTCAAATTCACCTACTCACTAAAACTTATTTGTAACCCCCAAATCAGTACTCTAGGCACCTTCATGGTCACTTGGAGACTTTCATGGACATGTCTGTGTGCAAGATGGGAAACAATATGAGTCACCAGACACACATGTCCCCAGCTGAGGTGGAACAAGGCGACACGCTGCCTTCTTGTTTCACCTCATTCTGTAAACAAGTGTCATTTTCAGTCTCTTAGTGCCACATTTTTCACATTTTTGTGCTTTTTGTTGATTTTGCTGTTTATTTTTTTATTGAAACAATTGATTGTAAATATCTGTGGCTACAACGTTGAATATCAGTACCTGTGTGTGATATGTGATGCTCAAATCAGTATAATTAGTACATTAAATACAATGTTTTGGGGCCGGCCCGTGGCTCACTCGGGAGAGTGTGGTGCTGATAACACCAAGGCCCCGGGTTCGGATCCCACATAGGGATGGCCGGTTAGCTCACTGGCTGAGCGTGGTGCTGACAACACCAAGTCAAGGGTTAAGATCCCCTTACCAGTCATCTTTAAAAAAAAAAAAAAAAATACAATGTTTTGTGGCGCTTTACCAAGTTCGCCCTTACCCCACCTCCCCCTTTCCCACCTTTGGTAACCTCAATTCTGCTCTTCTCTTTTTGAAAGTTCAACATATTGTGATTGTTTTATCTTTCTTTTTTCATTTATTTGTTTATTTTTTCAGTTCCCACTTACGAGTGAGGAACATGCGGTATTTCTCTTTCTGTGCCTGGCTTATTTCACTTAACATAATTTTCTCCAAGTTCATCCATGTTGCTGCCAATGGCAGAATTTCATTCTCTTTTATGGTAGAGTAGTATTGCATTGTGTACATATACCATATTTTCTTTATCTAGTCATCCAACAATGGACATTTAGGTTGGTTCTAACTCTTGGCTATTGTAACTAGAGCTGCAATAAACACGGGAGTACGGGTGTCCCTTCGACGTGATGATTTCCATTCCTTTGGGTATATACCCAGCAGTGGGATCCCTGGGTTGTATGACAGTTCTTTCTGTAGCTGTTTGAGGAAACTGTACCATTTTCCATATCGGCTACACCAATGTACAGTCCCACCAACCATTAAGAGGGTTCCCCTTTCTCTGCGTCTTCTCTGGCATTTGTTATTCTCTGTCTTTTTGTGATAATAGCCAGTCTAACTGGGGTGAGATGGTATCTCAGTGTGGCGTTGATTTACATTTCCCTAATGCTGAGTGATACTGAGCATTTTTTCAGGTGTTGGCCATTCATATATCTTCCTTTGAGAAATACCTATTCAACTCCTTTGCTCATCTTTTAATTGGGTTTTTTGGGGGGTTTTTTTACTGTTAAGTTGTTGAGTTCCTTGTATATTCTGGATAGATTTTGCTGTTTAAAATGGCCCTCAAGCATAGTGCTGAGCGCTGTCAAGTGTTCCTAAGTCAAGAAGGCTGTGATGTGTCTTAAAGAGCAAATACTTGTGTTCAGTAAGCTTTGTTCAGGCATGAGTTACAGTGCCTTTGTGAGTTCAATGTTAATGAATCAGCAATATACAAGGTACTTCAAAAATTTCATGGAAAAATAGAATTAAAAGATCATATGAATTTTTCCATGAATTTGTATATTAAACAAGGTGTACCCTCGTATATTAAATAAGGTGTCTTTATACAGAAACACACATAAGACAAAGTTATGTATTGATCAGTTATCGACAGTGTTATGATTGGAGGCTCAAAGGAATCTACTCTTGTATTTCCCGTGGGGTAATGGTTCAGTATTCCCTAATTCATTGTTTGAGGGACTTCGTAGAATATAAATGTGAATAATGAGAATCCACTGTAGCTGTCCTCCTGGGAGGAAGTGCACCCACCCTTCCAAGAGTTCAGGAAGAGGTCCTCTTTCAGTGGGCACCAGCTGGACTGAGGTTGCTCTGATAAAATGACAGTCATAGGTGACAGACAGCACTCCCAGTGTGCCAGGCACTTACCTGGACCTCCCAGCAGCTCCACAAGGCATAAGTACTTTGGTCTTCTCTGTTTTGAAGATGAGGAGACATTGGCCCAGAGGGGTTAAGTAGTCTACCTGAAGTCACAAAGAGCTGCTGTTCAGACCTAGAGCACCTGCTCCTGACAGCTGTGCTGAATGCCTCTCTGGACTAGAAGCCGGTGTCATTGTCCTCCAGAATAATGGTTTTCCTTGGAGGCCTGCGAAAAGATGACAGGACTCAGAAGTTTGTAGACCTCATAGCTGGACCCCAGCTTCAAGAGGGGAGCAAGACTAAAAGTACAGGGCAGGCAAAACCCTGGAACACCTTCCACTTACCAGCTGGGCACTCTGCCCCAGTTGCTGTCTCCTCCTCACGGACACCCTGAACATCAGGGTCCTTTCTCCCTTTGTATGACTGAATAAACTTAGTAAGGGCTAGAAAGTTGAGTTTGCCCAAGGCCACACAGAGAAGCCTAGCACGACCCCAGATCCCTGGATTCCAGAGTCTGAGTGGGGTGCCGGGGGGCAGTGAGGATTTACCCACAGGAGAGAGGGACTTCTGTAGAGTGGGGGCCATCCTTGAGCAGAGTTTAGGAAGGCTGGTGTGTGCCTGGGCCATGAGAAGGTGAAGCGCTTTAAAGTGGGCCCTCAAGATTTTTCTCTGTCTCCGTGGTATTCTTTCTTGGGGAGCAGATCGAGAGGGGCCGGCAGCAGGGAGAGCAGCCCCGCCCTGGGGAGAGCAGTGCGTGGCAGGGTAGGGGGGATCCCTCTGGTCGCAGTGGGCCTGATGCTGGGGAGAGACCTGGCCACATTGCAGAGGCCCTATCCTTAGCCTCATGCCACACAACCGGCCTTGCCCCACTCCTGCCAGACCACCAGCCCTGACCTGGCCTCTGCCCATGCCACCCTCCCCTACCAGCCAGGCCAGGCTGCAGAAGCAACTCACCAAAACCAGACGTGGTCCTGCCAACACATACCCATCGAATCCCAACCCCCTTAGCCTGGTACTTAAGGACTTCCAGGGGTCTGCCTGCCTCCATTTCTGGACTCCCCCTCCCCAGCTGACACCCTGGCCTGCAGCCAAACCACACACTTGCAGGGCCTGAAATTCCCAACCACACCCCTCCTGGTACTCTGTTGAGAACCCACATGGATGTCACCTCCTAGGAAAACCTTCCCAGATTCCCCAGACCCATGTATCCACCCTTCGTTCTACTCCTCCAGACTTGACCTGTCCCTACCAGCACTTGTACACTGAAGTCTCTCCCACTAGATGGGGAGCTCCCACGGGTGAGAGTGAGCTTTGTAGCCAGGCAGTCTGGGTTAGAATTCTAGTTTGGTCATTTATCAGCTGTTTGATCTTGGGTAACCTACGTAACTTCTCTGTGCCTCAGCTTCATCCTGTAAAATGAAAATAATGGTACCTGTCTCCAAAGTTTTCTCAGAATGAAATAAGATAATCCATGGAAAATTCTGAAAACAGAAGTAGCACTTAATCTAATTAGCTAGTATATTCGTTTTATTCCCCGTATCTAGCATAGAAATGGCATAGTTTGTGTCTCCTTCATAGTAGATGAAGATTGAGTTACTTTTAACTAGTAATTCTTTTAAATGCACATATGTAAACTTTAAATTTAGAAGTTCAGTTATAGATCCACACAGGCAGAGGAGATTTCTTCTGTGTCAGTTTGCCAGGACAGTATGTGTAAAAGCAAATGATACAATGGAGTTCCATCAGATATAAATTTAACTTCTGAATTCAGCTGTGGATTCTTGGCACAAGGACAGAGAGAGAAAAAGAAATCCCTTCCCCTACCAACTAGACCTTAGCTTACATGCACAAGGGAAAGGAGCCATAATAGACATCCAAAGAAAAATGAAGGGGAAAAGATAAAAGAAATTTATGGATGATTTAAGGGACTTTCAGGAGGTAATTTTGATCACTTGTTATGACTTACCATAAGCCATGTAATTCCAGGTTTAATTGTTTTCACACGGGCATCCTCCCTTGGCCCATCAGGGGAGGATCTCTCCTGTAGAATTGCTTGTGAGGTTGATGAGCCGCTTGAGCAGATGTAAAGAAATAAATCAACCCTAACCAAGACCTGCCAGGCTGTGACAGAGCAGTGAGCAGGTGCTGTGGGCTGGAAGAGGTAGGGGGGACCAACTCAGCTGGCATGGAGGGGTTAGGGCTGAGTCTTCAGCTGGTGGAAGACTCAGGTAGAGAAGCGCATGGTGGCTGGGGATCAGGCACCCCAGCAAAAATGGTTCACAGTCACAATGGACTCGTTTTTTGCCCAAGTCTCCCTGCATGCCAGTTGTGTGGGGGCCTTCTGGGGCCTCACAGTCCATAGACTGTCCCACCCCAGAACAGCTAAGAAGGATGCAGTGTTCACTCTTCTTATCTTTGTGTTCATTCATTCAGAAAACAGTCTTGAGTGCAAACCCCATGCCAAGCACATGCAAAACCCCAAAAGGTGTGGTGCTGGGGGTTGGGGGAGCCAGGCCAGGCAGAGAACTTCACTCACCCCTTTGCTTCTCCTCCTGGGGCCCCTTTCTCAATTCCTTAATGGGAGCAAACAGTTCTCCTGCCCTTTGGGAGTGGTGTTATGCTGCCCTCTCTAGTTTTTTTCCATTTCCAGAGGAAATGGGACCATCTCCTAGGCGGGGCAGGAATTAGGGGAGAGGGTCAGCCAGAAGAAGCTGAAGAGAGGCATGGTGGCTACTCAGCTGCCCAGCAGGAGAGCAGCCAGTGGGGGCCTGGAGTCCCACAGGAAGCTCCAGCTGGCATCTGTGCATAACTGAATTCTCAGCAGAGAGCTGGAGTCGCTTATACAAAGTCTGACTGTGTCTGATTAATCACATGTATATCAAAGGCCAAGTTAAGTCCTTTCAAGTCTTTGGAAGTTAGCAAACTTGCAGATGCCTAGACTTTCTAGGAGGCCATGTAGAAAACTACTGATGACTCTTGGCATAAGTGAAGGGTGGAGGCATTATCTCCCAAAAGACTCTGTGATTCTGCCCTTATTTTTTTTTTTCTTATTTTTTTACCAGGACCATTTGTTACTTTAGTTATATACATATACATAAAGTTTAAGAAAGAAGAGAGTAAGCAGATTGAAGATTCTAGTCACTTGAATATAGTAAATTAGGTCTCCCATTTTTTCCCCCGCTGCTGGCCAGTAAGGGGATCCGAACCTTTGACCTTGGTGTTTTAACACTGTGCTCTAACCAGCTAAGCTAACCGGCCAGCCCTCTAGGTCCCGCATTTTAATTGCTCTTCTTTGGATTCGTGTTTAGGGTCTGACAATTTTGTGTTTCTTTACTTCATCAAACCTCTCTTAGGTTCTTCCCGCAAAGAGATCACAAAACACTGGGAATGGCTGGAAAATAACTTGCTCCAGACGCTGTCCATCTTTGACAATGAGGAAGATATCACCACCTTCGTCAAGGGCAAGATACAGGTAAGGTTTACATTCAGCTAACAGTTCTCACTCCCCTTCTCGGGCGGGCAGAGTTCACGGGTATCATCTTATCGCATCTTCTAACAACACGGTGCACGTTTTATCCCCATTTCACAGAGATGGAAACTGAAGTGTCAGCTCTCATGCTCTTGGAATTGAAAGGGGCAGTTGAACCCATTGCCCGTGAAGGCCCCTTCTTAGCCTGGCTGGCCACTGGAGGCTGACGGAAGCTTAGTTCAGAGTTTCTATTCCGTGCAAAGTGCCTTAGAACAAATATGCAGATATGCAACTCTGTTTGCCAGTTCCTTGGCTAACAGAGGAAGAAGCTGGAAATGATAGGACATTTTGAAGTATGGTTTTCTTATAAAACTAACATTATTTTAAAAGGCGCATATCCTATATTCAGCAATTGCATTCCTTGGAGTTTACCCTACAGTGTATTCATATGTGCAGAATGACGCATGTATCAAGATGTTCCCTCCAACACTGTTTTAGCAAAAAGACTAGAAACAGTGCCTCCCGGTCCCGTGATAAGAGGGAAGAGCAGCTGTTCTCTCCTCTGCAAAATGATAGTAATAATACTTGCTAGCACTTACTGGTATTTTCTGTATGCTTACTGTGTGCTAATGGGGACTTATTAAGTCATATATGATATACTTAACAGAATATTTTGTAGCCATCAAAATAATGATTATGAAAATTGTAGCAATGTGTGAAAACTTATATCCTGGTGATATTTAGTTTCTTTCCTCTTTGAGGGATAATTAACACTATAATGAGGATTTACCTGAATGTACATGGGGTCTTTAAAAAGTTCATGGAAGGATTTATATTACCTTTTAATTCAATTTTTCCATAAACTTTTTCAAGTACCCTCATATATGTGTATCTTTGTCTTTCTGTTAGATCCTTGCCTTAAGTTAGATTCCTGGGAGAGCTCTTAGTGTGTCAAAGTTTCATGGTGCAGAGTTGCTTTGGATAGGCCCTTGTAAGTTCATTATACCAGAACTTTATAGACCTGGGCAGATGGTACCAAGTTTCTCAGCTCTTCTATGCACTTTGGGGTTCAAGGCAGGACCTGTGTTGCCTTCTAGCTCCAGGAAAATAGGCAGAGGGCGGAGGCAATCCTTCAGTCTCCCAGTAAGCAAGTTAGGTGATACTACTACTACTATTAAATAATAGTAGCAACATTGCTGAATGCCTCCTGTATACCAGTCCCCAACAAACTAATCAACAAAACATAAAAGTTCTAAATGACTCTGGGGCGAAAGAAGAAATGGAAAATCTAACTAGAAAATATTTAGAACTAAAGAATAATTGAAATACTACTGCATGTCAGAATTTGTGGGATGCAGCAAAAGCATCACACAGAAGGAAATTTTTAAAGCCTGAAATCTTATAAATGAAGAAAGGGCAAAAATTAATGAGCCGAGTGTCCGATTCAGTAAGTTAGGAAAAGAACTCGAGAGAAACAAGAAAATTAGACAGAAGGAAATAACCAAAGGCTGAAGTGAAGTCCATAGAAAATGAGAGAAGAGCAACAGATCCAAAAATGGGAGAAAATCTGTGGCCAAAGGATCCAGGACGATGGGGGCCGGCCCGTGGCTCACTCGGGAGAGTGCGGTGCTGATAACACCAAGGCCGCGGGTTCGGATCCCGTATAGGGATGGCCGGTTGCTCACTGGGTGAGCGTGGTGCTGACAAGGGATCCAGGACGAGAGAGAAACCTCCAACAAGCACTGTTAGAAATGAAACATGAGGAACCCCTATTGAAAAGCAGGATTTTCAAAAGAGAGAGAGTGCTATAAACAGCTTTAAACCAATAAATATAAGAATTTAGGCAAAATCGTCACTTTCTTAGAATAATATATATTAGTTTCCAATTGCTACTGTAACAAGTTACCGTAAACTTAGTGGCTTAAACGAACACAAATTTATGATCTTACAGTTTTGGAGGTCAGAAGTCTGAAATGGGTCTCGCTGGGCTAATATCGAGGTGTTGGCAGGGCTGCATTCCTTCTGGAGGCAGAGGAGGGAGTCCGTTTTCTTGCCTTTTCCAGCTTCGAGAGGCCACTTGTACTCCTCAGTTCTTGACCTCTCCCTTCATCTTCAGTTCCAGCAGCGCAGCATCAAATCAATCAGCCTCTCCCTTCATCCCTCTCTCCCCCCTCCCTCCAGTTGTACCTGGAAAACTCCCATTCTGTGACTCTGACCCTCTTTCTTCCCTCTTTATAAGGACCCTTGTGGTTAAATTGGGCTCACCCAAATGACCCAGGATCATCTCCCCATCTCAAAATCCTTAGTCACATCTACAAAGTTCCTAATCACATTTGCAAAGTCCCTTTTGCTATATAAGGTAACATATTCCCGGGGAGTAGGATGTAGACATCTTCAGGGGGCATCGTTTGGCCTACCACATAATATAACTTAAACTGGGGCTCAGGAAGAAATAGGAAACCCGAATATGCCTAAAACTATTAAAGAAACCGAATCGGTAATTTAAAATCTACCCAGTGATTTTTACAGGTGGGTTCTATCAGTCAACAGGCAGAAAATTCCAGCCCGTGAGCCAGGCTGGTTAATCCCCACTGGTGAGGACTGTAACCACTGACTAGAGGCTGGAAAGTCATCTGAGGGCTCAGAGCTGGGGAGTCGCCAGTAAGGAGTGTGGAGTAGACAGTTGTCAGCCCCTCCACTCCCTACCTGGAAGTTTTCCAGGTGGAGCTGGAGGGAGTGAGGGAGCAGCGAGACCCAGGATGGTGGCCCAGGGGCAGGGCACCTGTTCTACAGAGGTGGCTGGCCCACCACAGGCTGTCCAGGGCCACCCTTGTGCTTTCCAACAGTGGGGCACTCTTCCAGCCTCCCAGTGGGGTGGAATCGGGGGCAGCTGAACACAAAGGCAGGGCCTTAACAGTAAGGAGGGTGCTTTGCCAGAGGCTTTTCCCCCAGATATGGAGCTGGTTCCAGCAGGAGCATTCCAGGGAGGCACCAGAGGCAGCTGGAGAGAGGATGGTTACTTCACAGCTGCAGTGGTTCTGGTGTGAGGGAAGAAAAATTGTTTTTCCTTCTGCTCTTTTAGGTTCTTGTTTGGGGCTCTGTAACAAAAGACAGGCTAACAAGAGAAAAATTGAAGTTTGTTAACATGGGTGTCTCATACATATGTAGGAGAAACTCAGGGATGAGTAACTCGAGTTTTTGGTTAGAACTTGGGTCTACATAGCTCTTCACAAAGGAGCAATACTGTTTTGTTTTGTTTTTATTTTTGGTGGTTGGCTGGTCCTGGGATCCAAACCCTCGACCCTAGTGTTATAACACTGTGCTCTAACCAGCTGACCTAACTGGCCAGCCCAAGCAGTACATTTAAAGAGAAATGACAGGACAAAGGAAACCAGGGTACACTTCCAAGGGCAGGAAATTGTGGCAAAGTAAATACATGGGGGAGACTAATGGAGTGAGGTTTGTTCACTGGTGCCATCTCTGAGCTGATGAGAGAGTGGTGTCGCCTGCAGTAAATGTGAACTTATATCCTGCTTTTAGGCAGAAAGGGGGAGGGTGGAGAGAACCTCTCCTGCCTTTGCTGCTGCTTAATTGCCTTCAGGTCAAAAATAATTCCTATGTCAGAGGCGTATTTTGGAGTAGCGTATTCTTGTTTCCTTCCCTGGCTATGCTGAAAAATAGAAGGAATCAAAGCAGACCCCACCTTCGGGTTCTCACCTGGGCTCACAGCTGTCCTCCCTGCCCATGAATGTGGGGGACGCGAGGCCGCTAAGAGCCCCAGCAGAAGCAGCAGGCCCCACCACCAGCACTGGCTTTGATTTACTCGGGCTTATTCCAATAATTATCTTTCTAGCAAATCGGCATGTACATTTTGAGCCAAGTACACTAAGGACCTGTTTTATCCCAGGAGGTTTGGGGCTGGCTCCATGGCCCAGGGTGACATCTCTGAGCACCCTGAGCCTTGTGGAGATGACAGCAGCATGAGGGAGGTGGGTGGGCCCTGTGGGTCCGATGCAGAACATCCTCCAGGATGTGGTGAGGAAAGCTCTTTACAGAACAGGGCCACGGGGTGATCCCGTTTTTGCAAAGAAAGGAGGAGAGAGAAAAACACAGGTATTTGCTTATATGTACACGGGTGTCTGCGTGTCTGGAGGGGCCCGGGAAGGTAGCTCCAGAGGGCAAGAGGAGACCCCCTTTTCACTGCACACATTTTTCTACCTTTGCATGTTTTTACCATGTTTATGGACGATATGTTTCAACAGTTTCATACAAATAAATAAAATGTTTATTTACAGAGTCACCACTCTGAGCAAGTAATGATAGTAGTTCAGGGCGTTGTGGGAACCTGTCCAGAGCCCACCGGCAGCATCTGTAGTCCTTGTGCTGTGTCCTCGAGCCTGCCAGGGCATGGCCACTTCCTTACCCAGGAGCTGCTAACTGTGCCCCTGCTGTGCCTGTAGCCCTGAGCCCTGGGTTCCTTGGGCCTCTCTGTTCCACCTTTGACCTGCCCAGGAATGTGAGTCCTCTTGTCTTCCCCCAGGGCATCATCGCGGAAGAGAACAAGAACCTGCAGCCCCAGGGAGATGAGGACCCTGGGAAGTTCAAGGAGGCTGAGCTGAAGATGCGGAAGCAGTTTGGGATGCCTGAGGGCGAGAAGCTGGTCAACTACTACTCCTGCAGCTACTGGAAGGGCCGCGTGCCACGGCAGGGCTGGCTCTACCTGACCGTCAACCACCTGTGTTTCTACTCCTTCCTGCTGGGGAAGGAAGGTGAGGCCCTGCGCAGTGGGTGGGGGCAGGCAGGGGGCACCAGCCCTGAAGCATCAGGGTGAAGGGGTCTCCCTCCAGCCCTCCGTGCCTCAGCTCCTCCGTGTCCTTGCTCCCCGGCCTCCCCTCCAGAGAATTCACAGCCTCTCCAGACTGCCAGAGTTCCTGGTGGGTCTCCCTCCTCTTGGCCCCAGATGTTCTGTCCCCACACAGCTACCAGAACAGTCTCTCCCAAATCCAAATGCCACCTCAGCAGCCCCACAGGAACACTCAGGCTTGAGCCAGGCACACACCTGCTCCTGGCAGGTTCTGATTATGTCTATAGTCAGTCCACTAGTAGGATTCTGCACATAGTAACTTTCTTCAGGCCTCCCCCTTTTCTCTTCAGTCGGTACATTCAAAGGCATGCATCTTCCCTGAGTGAGTCTGGGGTATGCAGTGCCCAGGCACATGCCACTGCTGTCGCCTGCTGCAGGTCCCTGTGGGACACCTGGCCTCTGGATGCCAGCCAGACTCCCTGCCCAGTGGTCAGCAACCTCTGTGGCCACCATCACCCCAGAAAGAGCTCCAGGGCTTTAGCTGCGCCGACTAGTCACTGTTTCCAAGCCCAGCAATCCCATCTCTCTCCACACCTCCCTCAGCATTCAGCCCCCCAGCCCTTGTCTCCCCTTGCCTGTCAAGACCAGGATGGCCAGCCACCTCTTGTTGGTCAGGGCAGTGTCCTCTCTGCTGGCCACACCATGTTGTGAGCTTATTCACACGTCGGCGCACTCCTGCACAGTGGGGCTTCTCAGGGCCAGGCCCTCAGCTAGTTCATCTCCACACGATCATCTGTTTCTCTCCTCACCCATTCATGGGGCAAACATTCCCCCAATACAGTTGGTCTGGGAGGCAGCAGAGACCCCAACAGCCAGTCCCTCCGTATAGAGCATGTAGCCCAGCGTAGTCAGGCTCAGGCACCGAGGGGTATGGGATAAATGCTGCCCTCAGAGGTGTTCCCTGGGGGCGTGGGGGATTCCAGGTGCGGACGGGAGTCAGGAGCCTTGCCTTGATCAGTTCTAATTGGGGGTGTGTCTTTTCCTGCGGGTGTCCAGTGAGCCTTGTGGTGCAGTGGGTGGATGTCACACGGCTGGAGAAGAATGCCACCCTGCTCTTCCCCGAGAGCATCCGTGTGGACACCCGGGACCAGGAGCTCTTCTTCTCCATGTTCCTCAACATTGGTGAGACCTTCAAGCTCATGGAGCAGTTGGCCAACCTGGCCGTGCGGCAGCTGCTGGACAGCGACGACTTCCTGGAGGACAAGCCCCTGCCCAGGCCCATCCGGCCGCACAGGAACATCTCGGCTCTGAAGCGGTGCATGGCCCTCCGGGGGTGGGAGGGCCCCATGGCGTGTGAGGGCTGGCTCACTTGAGCAGGATTCACTGACCCCGCCTGGCCCATGGCCAGATGTGAAGGCCTGGAGAGGGTCTCCAATTTCACCCCTCACCATCTGCCCGCTTGGGAAGGCCAGGCAGGTCATTGCAGTGCTGCACGGGGAGGGCACCCAGAGATATTAGTGATGTCCTAAAATATCACTAATGTGGAGGAAGGCCTTCCCACCTTGTTTCTTGCAGCCCTATGATGGGAAGTTTCTCTTACTGTCCCTAGGTCTTAGACGAGGAAGCCGAGGCACAGAGAGATTGAGTAACTTGCCTGAGGTCCCTCAGCTAGTGAGTGGTGGGGCCAGGACATGAAACTCCTTGGCCAGAGCACCCTTGGGGTGTCTCAGATCCCCCGGAGGCTGCATCTGGAAGGCTGCATTGAATCTGGGCTCAGGGCACACAGCCTCTATCCTACAGTGATTGACAGCTCTCCTCAAGACCCCTTGGCCAGACTCACAGCCACGGAACCCAGGCCTCTGGGGTCTGAAGCCAGCAGGGGAGACAGCCGTGTGCAGGGCCAAGGTCACTGCCTCCCTGTCCATGGGGATTGGTGGCCAGCTCCTCCCAGTCACTTCTGTTTGAGCTCCTAGGTTGTAGCTTCATGGGAAACCTGCAAGGCTGGCCAAGATCTCAGAAGTTCACTGAGCCTGTGGGTCCCACAGCCAGGGTGTACACAGCCAGATTCACACCTATGTGTTCAGGGACCTCATCCCAGCCAGGCATTTCCTGGGTCATACCTATAGACCATGATCTAGGCCCAGGCTCTAGGGTATGCCTTCAGGACCAGAACATTGTGCAAAGATGTCACTCTTTTTTGGGGGGTCAGGGGTAGGCAGCTGGCCAGTAAGGATATCACTCTTGTGATTTGAGTGACAGGGTTGCTTTTGGGACTTTTCGGAAAGAAAACAAACAGGGCTGGAACTTGACAGTGTCTAGCACTATCAGTCAGGGTGTGTGGTCAGCCCTTGTCAGGCTGGCAGCAACCCAAGGTAGGTGGAAGGCTCACTTAGGGGTTGGGGAGTGATGTTTATGTGGATAGAGCCACTGAAGGGGACCAGCCAGGAGCCAGGCCACTGTCCCTCATGGCCATCAGACATACAAATGAGCATTTCTAGTACACAACAGCTGCCACCTGTTACAGTTTTAGCTCCACACCTCACTGTTGGAAGATCCTACCTAGATTTCAAGGTGTGAGGTTAGGTCTTCCCAGTGTGAAGCAGCACCCTCAGGGTGGCAATGTTCTTGGTCTGAGTGGGCAGGGTGCCAGGAACCATGGCACTGCCTGCCTTTCAGCACCAAGCAGCATGTCATAACTCTTCCTGGGCCAGCCTGCAGGTGTCCTTTCAAGGCAGTGAGGTCTCCAGCACATGTTGAGTGCTAACCACTGTTCTGGTCATATGAATGTCCCAGGTTTTACTTGGTCATTTAACGTGCATCTCTTATTGAACTCTGAGATCCCTGGGCAGGGCTTGCTCACAGGAAGACCCCAAGGATCCTGAATCTGATGTGGAAACTAAGGCCCAGGGAGACCCTGAGGCCCCTCACAGGCATGCTGGCCCTGACTCTTGTCCCCTTTCCTCCCTTCCCTCAACCTTGTTTCCCCAGAGATCTGGACGCCCGCGCCAAGAATGAGTGCTACCGGGCCACCTTCCGGCTGCCCAGGGATGAGCGGCTGGATGGCCATACGGGCTGCACCCTGTGGACACCATTCAACAAACTGCACATCCCTGGCCAGATGTTCATCTCCAACAACTACATCTGCTTCGCCAGCAAGGAGGAGGACGCATGCCACCTCATCATACCCCTGAGGGAGGTGAGCATCCTCTGGTCAGGGCAGGCTCAGGGACCAGGCCCCACTTCAGCTCTGCCCCAGCTCTCTTGGGGGCACCTGGCAGGAGTCACAGGCCTTTGTGGCCTCACATCATGCAGGGGACATGTGGAGGGTATGTGGCTGAGTCTGGCCCTTCTGAGCACCTGCCCCTCAGGGATCACCTCGCCTAGTGGGGAGATAGGGTGGCAGTGTGCCAGACAGCTCCTACTAGAGTGTAAGGAAACTTCAGGAAGGACCCGTCCTTCCCTGATCAAAGTTCAGTGGCCCCCTGTGGGTGAGTTCCCCAGGACCTGCAGTCGAATTTTGGCAAAGCCCTGCTCTCTTGGCTGGGCCTCGAGGACCTTGCCCATGCACCAGCCCCACTATGTCTCAGAGACCACTTCAGCAGCCCTCTCTCGACACACATACCAGCACAGCCATTGGAGGTCAGCTCTCACCTGGTGGGTTGGGGCAGATCTTACCTGTCAGGGGTAGTCTTTCTCAGGTTTCTTGGGTTTCCACAGTGACCCTAGTCAAAACAAGGCCATTTGTCCTGTGCTGCTGTGAAGGGGTGTGGGCAGCAAGGGAGAGGGCCCCCACCCAGAGAGAAGGGACCAACACTGAGGGCAGGGCAGGTGCCAGTCCTCCTTTTCCTCGTGGCCTAGCAAGGCACTGGCTGTTAATTGTATGATGCACAGTGAGGTTCTTTAGTTATAACTTAAATCACAGTATTTCAATTTTATTGAAAACCTAGAGCGGTGAGACCTCCCTGGAATTTGTACAAAGCCCTCAAGTTGCAGGTGTAGCTGTGAATAGGTGTGGGACAGGGTGCTGTCTCAGTTTCCCCAAGGGAAGTCAGAGGCCAAGGACTCCAAAGAGCCATAGCTCCAAAAGCTCCAGATTGAGAGGCTCAGATGTGGCCCCTGATCCCACATTCTCTTGGCACCAGGACCCTGAGCATTCCTCCTTGTCCCCAGTTGCGTTTCTCCTGCCGGGTCCTTGACATTTCTTATAGCAGAGAACGCTGGCTGAGCTGGGTGAGCAGGACGATCTCACCCTGGAGGGCTGTTCCTCACTCGGGGGTCGGAGCTCTGTGGCTGGTCTGTTGGGAGCCAGCCAGACCCAGCCCAGCACTGACCATCCTGAACATAACTGCTCCTCGACATCCCAGCCAGAGGGGTTCACAGGAGCTCCTTTGCCCACAGCCAGCTCCGTGCTTGTCTGGTGGGGTCTTGAATTCCACTCCCAGGCGTGCTCTTCCCCTGCTCCCCTTGGGAAGCAGCGCCCCTTCCATCCATTGCTCAGGTGAAAGCAGGAGGTCTCCGTGATTCTGACCTCGCCCTCCTTCCCACAGCCTACCCATAGCACGTCCTGTCAGCTGCTGTCATCTGCTTGGACCATCTCAGGAGGGTCCTAACATCACCTAACCCCTTTATGACACATCCCCCTGCAGCAGCCAGAGAAATTTAAAAATCAGTCAGAGCCTGTTGGTGCCCTGCTTAGAATCCTCCAGGGTCTTCTCTTTGTGGTTAGAAGAATCCCCAACTGCTACCTGTGACCTGTGAGACACACAGTCACCTGCTGTGTGAGCCGTCTACCCGCTCCCAGACCTCCACTCATACACGCCCCCACACACACACTCACACATATGTGCACCACTACTGATACACGCTCACACATACAGAGGCACACACACACACACGAACACACATACTACACACTCATACACACCACATAGGCGTGTTCACATACACGCCCCCCACACACACACAACTGCACAGTCATACATACCCCATACACACACACATGCAAATAACATACACATACACACACAAACACTGCACATACACACATACACATGCCACCCCATTCCTGCTCACGGTGCCCCACCTTCTCCAGCCTTTCCTTCCTCCCTCAAGGAAGCCTCAGTCCCCCCTTAAGGCAGCTGCTGTGCGCTCTGCCCTGTCCTTTCCCCAGCTCCTCTCCTGACTGACCAGGTCTTAGCTCAGGCACTGCCTCCCCAGAGGCACCTTCAGCACACAGCAGTCCGGCAGCCTCCCATCCCACCTTGTTGCCAGGACTCACCCTAGTGACCATGCTTAGCCTGCATGTCCATCGTCTGTACGCCCACTGGGCCATGGACTCTGCAGAGGTGCCCACGGGCAGCCCATCCCACACCCTCCACACCTGTGCCACTCTCTCCACGCCTCAGAGGGGTCAGAGCTGAGAGCTCGGAAATGCACACCCTCAAAGCGCTCCCTGGGAACAAGTGCTTAGGACCACCTTGCAAGCAAGGAGCTGCTCAGTGTGCTTCAGAGCAGGGGATAAATGATCTTTTGAGAAAACAATAAGGGCCAGCAGCTGGCACTTACATTTTACATCATTGTCCTCATACTGGTCCTGCAAGTCCAGTGTGCTCACCCCTGTCACCAGGTGAAAACATGAGACTTAGACATGCAAGCAACTTGCTCAAGGTCACACACAGTAAGTGGCAGAATCAGAATCCAAATCCAGTTAGGCCACTTATGGCACTGTGCCCAGGAGAGGACAGTTTCAGGACCACTGTGGTCTTCTCACATTCACAAAGCACTCCCCACTTTATGTCTTAAGATGCAAACGCCCTAGAGAGTGTTTTTGCCTTCTCAGGTGACCATTGTCGAAAAAGCCGACAGCTCCAGTGTCCTTCCCAGCCCTCTGTCCATTAGCACCAAGAGTAAAATGACCTTCCTGTTTGCTAACCTGAAAGACCGTGATTTCTTGGTCCAGAGGATCTCTGATTTCCTCCAGAAAACACCGTCCAAGCAGCCAGGCAGCAGCATCGGGGGGAGGAAAGCCAGCGTTGTGGACCCAGCCCCAGAGGTGAGAGAGGCCCCTTGGGAGCCGTGGGGTGGGAGGCAGGGCCAGGGGAAGACCTAGGGCAGCCATCGGCTTCCCTGCTGGAGCCTGACCTCGTGCTGTCTGCTGACGGCCTCTTGGGCTGAGAGGGTGATTTTCTGGAGCTGGGAAGAGACCCTCTGTGTATGGGGTGGAGAGTCCAACCTAGCTGTGCCGCCTCAGGCATCCAAGCCACACACCCACTGCCCAGCGCCACAGCCTCGCTGCACTCCACCCCCACGCACACACCCACCAGTGCTTCTCACACTTGCTCAGCCTTCCTCAAGGCCCATCCTCATGAGAAACCTTCTCTGGCTGCCCCCAGAGCAAGGGCTGCACAGCCGAGGCCCTCCCCTTGGGTTTATTCACTTGGCGTTTCCCCATCGGTCTTTCAGTCTAAGGTTCTTACAGGTAAGACTCCTTTTAAAGACTTGACTGAAGTATCATTATCACCAACAAACTTAACAATTTCTTAATATCATCAAATACTTCTATTCACATTTCCCCAAAGGCAGGTGTACTTTTTACACTTTGATTGTTTGAGTTACACAAAAGTCAGACATACAATTGGTTGATACGTCTCTTAAATCCCTTTTAATCTATAGGTTTCTGTTCCACATCTCTCTTTTCCCCCTCCTCTCTTGCAGTATTTTGTTGAAGAGATTGGGTCACCAGTGCTATAGAGTCTTTCACAGTCCGGTTTTTGCTAATTGCATCCCCTGTAGGCATTTAACAAGTTCCTTTGTCACCTCTTTCCTTTAAGTTGGTTGAGTGAGATCCAGAGCCTCCATCAAATTCAGGCTCAACTGATTCTTGTTTTTGGCAGATCCAGCTGTAGGCAGGACTGGGGTGCTATGTACTTCTAACAGGAGGTTACACCTGGTCACCTCTTCATGTGCTGCTGTCAGTCATTGAGAGCATTGCCTAGGTCCAGCCATTCATTAGGGATTGCAAAATGGTGGCACTCGAGTGCTATCACTCCTTCTGTCTAGTAGCTGGAATACTCCTATAAAGAGGAACTTCCCCTCATTAACTGTTTGGTTACCTCAAGGCAGAATAAATCTTTTACTCTTTCCTTTTATTCACCAGTATTCAAAGTATCCTCCAAATGTGACCAATTTGCTTTTAATGTTTATTTTTAATGTAATTATGAACTTGTGGATTTTAACAACTTGATGTGTGTCCATCCATTACAGCCCTTATTCTGTGACCAGAGGAGGCTTATTCAGGTTGGCTTCTAAGTCCTTTTGACACAACCTTGACCATCTTTGCTGGCTCCCTTGCTTTCTTTTTTGGTGGCTGGCCGGTACAGGGATCCGAACCCTTGACCATGCTCTAACTGTCCGGCCCTCTTGCTTCCAGGTATGACAAGATGGGTGTGTTGCTTTTGCTTTCAATCTGAATTTGTAAAAATACTTAACCATTAGAAGAATCCATGTAAAAATCCACAGATCTGGCTTCTCTGGAAAAATCAGCAGCCCAAGCACTACAGGGACTCACTCCCACTGGATGGTGGTAAACACATTCCAGCTCCCTAGAGCCCCACATGGTCTGGCCTGTGTAGGCCTTTGAATTTTCCACCCCTGTAGTAGATGCTCAGTAGATTATTAAGTGGATAGGAATGGGTGGGAAGGGGATGGGTGTAATCTGTGGATTGGAGGCATTAAGAAAGGTTTCTTGGAGGAGGTTGGGCCTGATCTGGGATTTCAAGAAAGGAAAAAGTTGGTTTGGATGAAAGGGGGCGTGAGCAAGATGACTGAGCCACCTCTGCCTTCATGATCTCAACGCCACCAGTGACAGGGCCTGACAGCCCAGAGTAAGCATGGGCCCATGGCATTTTCCAAGCACTCGCAATTCACGCGTCCAACATATTTTTATTGCATTCCTACTAGGTGCCAGCTGCTAGTCTAGGCACAAGGTATAGAGCAGTGAACAGATTAGACAAAACTCATGCTCTCTTAGAGCTAATATTCTACTGAAAGAGACAGTATGCAAATCAAAATATAATATGTCAGGCAGTGATGGGGCTATGGATAAAAATGAAGAAGGATCAGAGGACCAGGGGAAAGGAGGGGCTCCATTGTATCTCTCTTGCTCATGCGTCAGGGGGCATTTGAAAAGAAACTTGAAAGAAGCGAAGACAGAAGCCATAGAGTATCTGGGGAAAGGGTATTCGAGGCAGAGAAGATAGCCAGAATAGCAAGGAGCCTTGAGGCAGGATTGAGTTCTGCACAGGCTCCTGAGACAGGGTATGGGAGCCTGGGTGTAAGAGGTGAGATTAGAGAGGTGGCAGGAAGCCAGGTCATGAAAAGCCCTTAGGCTCTTGTAAACACTTCAGCTTTCACTCTGAGTGAGATGGAAAGCCGGTGAAGAGTTTTGACCAGAGGAGGAACATGATCTGTTTATGTGTTAATAGGATTACTCTGGCTGCCCATGTTGACAATGGATTAGCGGTGTGCTATCTACTACAGCTGCCTGCTGTGGAACAATTGAAATTTGGCTAGTGCAAATTGAAATGTGCCACACATGTACACTATACACCTATACACCTATACACTGTACACTTAAGATTTTCAAGACTTAATGTGAAAAAAAATGTAAAATACCTCAATAGCTTTTTTTAATTGAGTCCATGTTGAAATAATATTTTGGATATGTGTGATTCAATAAAATGTATTATTAGAAGTAATCTCACCAATTTCTTTTAGGCTCTTTTAATATGGCTATTAGGAAATTTAAAATTACATAGGTGGCTCTCACTGTACCTCTCTTGGACAGTGCTGGACTAGAGAGGGCAAGCATCGAGGCAGTACATTGGCTGGATGGCTGTTACAGTAATTAGTGCAGGAGACGATAGAGCCTTGGTCAAGAGTGGTAGCAGTGGAGTTAGTGAGAAATGGTAAAATACACATAACATAAAATTTACCATTTTAACCATTTTTAAGTGTACAGTTCAGTGGCATTAAGTACATTCACATTGTTGTGCAACTGTCACCTCCATCCATCCACAGAACTTTTTTTATTTTGCTAAACTAAAACTCCATACCCAGTAAAAACTAACTCTCCATTCGTTCCTCCCTCTGGCCCCTGCAACCACCGATTTATTTTCTGTCTCTGTGAATTTGACCACTTTAGGTACCTTACATAAGAGGAATCATACAGTACGTGTCTTTTTGTGACTGGTTTATTTCACTTAGCCTAATGTCCTCAAGGTTCATCCATGTTGTAGCACGTGTCAGAATGTCCTTCCTTCTTAAGGATGAATAATGTTCCGTTCTGTGGGTGTACCACGTTTTGTTTGTCCATTCATCTGTCGGTGGACACTTGGGCTGCTTCCACCTTTTGGCTGGTTATTGTGAATTACACTGCTATGAACATGGTATACAAATATCTGTTTGAGTCTCTGCTTTCAGTTCTTTTGGGTGTGTATCCAGAGTGGAATTGCTGGGTTATAATAAAATCCTTATGTTTAGGGCCGGCCTGTGGCTCACTCGGGAGAGTGCGGTGCTGATAACACCAAGGCCACGGGTTCGGATCCCATATAGGGATGGCCGGTTCGCTCACTGGCTGAGCGTGGTGCTGACAACACCAAGTCAAGGGTTAAGATCCCCTTACCGGTCATCCTTTTAAAAAAAAAAAATTCTTGGGCCGGCCCAGTGGCGCACTGGATAGTGCGCCGCTTGGGAAGCGTGGCAGCGCTCCCGTCCGAGGGTTCGGATCCCACATAGGGATGGCCGGTTTGCTCACTGGCTGAGCATGGTGCTGACAACACCAAGTCAAGGGTTAAGATCCCCTTACCGGTCATCTTTTTAA